ACTTTTTTAATTTCTGTTTCTTTTTTCATATCATGTTTTTCTAAGGTTCTTAATATTTATTCATTTTCATCTAATAATAAAAGAATGTTTTCTTTTTCATCTGAAATCTTTTTAAGATTCTCCATAACTTCTAATAAACTATTGACATCTTCTTAGATATTTTTATCTTTGATATTAATATTATCTCTTGATGTATCAATTAATTTATTAATTTCTTCATTCTTATTAGTAACATAATTAACTAATTATTAACCTGTGTATTAATTATTTTTAGGTCCAACACCATCTAAAAATTATGCTTTTTTAGGAGAACCTCTAATTTCATTAAATTCACCTCTTTCATTCTTTAATTTAACATTAACAATAACTTCACATGGTTCTTCAATTTAATATTTAACAGCATAAGATCCATCATCATTATCATGAATAGTATATTTAATATTAGCTTTTTCTTCTAACAATTATAATCTTGTTTTTTCTTAAGGTACATCTTCTTCAACTTCTTCATATTCAGATTCTTAATTTTCACCTTATTCTTCTCCTTCTTATGGTATTTTAACTTTCTTTCTCTTAACAATTCTTTTCTTATGTGATTCTTATTCTATTCTTTCTCTCTCTTCAGGATCCATTTATTCTAATTATTATAATCTAATGGCTTCTCTTTATCTTTCCTCTTCTAATTCTGCTAATATATCAGGTCTAGTAATTTCTATTTAAAACTCATCAGCACCACTTTCTCTATTCTAATTATTCAAATTTCTTGTTTGAATATAAAACATAGTATCAATTTTTGTTGCATTTTCTCTCAATACTCCTGGTCCAAACATTAATGTCTTTTCAGCTTTTGAATTTAAGAAATATGAATAAAATTGACTCATAATAGTAAAATCTTATTTATCCATACTGACTTTAACTTCAGCTTTTCTAGCTCCATGTTTTTCATATGAAGGTGTTTCACATGTTATTTCAGTAGGACTAACATAAACTCCTTGAACATCTTCTTAAGCTTTTCCTGAAAAGAATCTTATAATAATATTAGGTGATTCCTTAAAGCCATCTCCTGTTATAGAAACTTTTGTTTTTCCTGTTAATGGACCTAAACATGGTTTAATTGAATAAATAGCATAAGGAGGTCCAACAATTGATGATACATTTAATGCATACATATCATTCATCCATGCATTTGACCAACCACCAAACATCATAATCCTAGAGTCTGATGAATCATAAATTAAAGTTGTAGATTCTCTAGTTTTAGGTTTGACTGGTTTATCTTCTTCCAATTAAACAGGTGACCATTTCTTAGCATCTACATCTAATACAAAAGTATCATCTACTAATCGACTGGCTGTTCTGTTACCACCTTCTTCAAAATTTCCTACTTATCCACCAAAAATGAAATATTTCCATGATGGAATAGATGGTACCATGATTCCAGCCATATTCCATTTAGGTATTTCATGCGAGATTTCTGGATCTACCCAACTATTGTTATTAATATCATATATGATGATATTTTAAAATTATGATATTTGATTCCATCCGCCAAAAATCATGAGCAAATCATTTTATCCCATAATTTAAGAATTATGTCCTCCTCTAGGATCAGGTGGTGTTCCAGTTGGCTCTAGTTATGACCATTCGAAACTTTCACAATCTAAAACATATAAATCATTGAATGATTTTGTTGCATATCCAACTCCTCCATGTCCTCCAAAAACATAAACTTTGTTCTTATGAAATGTTGCAGAATGATTTCCCCTTGGTTCTGGTGCTCCAATCTTAGATTCAGCATTTTTAGGTTCACCAGTTACTTTTTAATTTGGTGGCTGAGCCCATTAAAAATTAGTTGTTCTTAAGATGAAAGTGTCATTAAAACGGAGATTTGATGTGTAGAAACCACCAAAAATAAGCATTTTATCAGGAGCAATTGCACATGCAGCATGATTGGTTCTGGGTAATGGGGGATCCCCAGAACATTAAACTAACTTCCATTCACAAACATTTGGTGCTACTCTTAATGAATAAACTTATATGTTAATGACAATATGTACCTTAATTATTCGGTGCAATTTTTGTATTTTTCTTATCTGCATCTGGCTTCTTCTCACTATCCAATCCTCCAAAAAGGATGTGAGTTCTCCCAACAGTTACAAAAGTATGACCTGATCTAGGTGTTGGAATCTGTCCAGATTGTTTCACTTATACCCAAACTAATGGTTGTGGCTGTAAAAAGATATGAATATATATGTACCATCTGTAATTTTTAACAAAAAAATTAATAATACCATACTATTCCTATTCATTTCCCTTTTATATCTATTATATAGTAAAATATATATCATATATTTTAAAAAATTCAAAATTTTTTAATTACCTTGCCCTTCTTTTCATTATATTCATCACTAGAGGTCATTGGAGAATGATACCCTCCTTCACTAAACTAAGTTAAAAATCATATACCCTTTTTAAAATCTCACATATTTATTATTTTTCTTTGTTCTTCTAAAATGATATTCTTTTTTCTCTTCTCCAACTCCTTCATTCAAAACTTATTTTTAAGTTCCTGTGATCTAAACTGGTTGTGATATTTCTTAAACAAAAGGTGATGTTTTGCTACTTTAAGAAAATATTCTATCATTTGGGTTTATTTTGCCTTTCTTTTACTAATTCCCACCCAATTTAGAATTCTTCATACTCAAAAATCCTTCCCATCCTTTTATCACATTACCAATATGACCTGTTTCCTCTAAATATCTTGTTTCTTCATCAAATATATTCTTTTCCAAATTTTTAAGTTCATTCTCTAATATAAGCTTCTTATCTACAAGGTCCTAGTATTTCTTGTCCATTTATATATATATATTAAATATTTTATATATCATTAGTTACTTAGATTCCTTATTCTGAATAAAATTATTGAGGATAATTTCTTTAATTCATCCATCTACTCAACACTATAAGTATTCAAATCTAATATCTAATTTTATAATTTTCTTAAATCATCAATTATAGGAATATCCTCATGAATTTCAAAAGCTGGCAAAGTTCTTTAAGTACTTATTCTATATGATAATTAAGATTCTGGATGCCCAAAATTTCCAGTCTTTAAAATAAATTCAGATATTATACCTAAACTTAATATTCTTGTTTGTCAATATTTTATGATTATTAGAATTAATAAAGTAAATCTTTATTTTCTATGCATGACTTTTTTTCTTAGTTTTCCATTGCTCCACAACCTTATGAAAATTATATCTTTATTTTAACCATTTATTGTAATTAATTTTCTAATTCATTCAATGCATTTTTTTTGTTTGATATTGGTTCATTTATTTATTAAGTAATTCCTAAAGTGCTTTTTATAAAATCAGAAATCTTTCTTTAACTACTTTATTGTCTATTTTCTTTATAATTAGTTTGTCTCATTTAACGAATAAATTATTACTTAACTTATATATAAATTTCAATCTTTTTACTAATTTTAGTGCTTGATTCATTATTTAAGCAAACTAAATATGAAAGAAAAACTCAATTAATTATTATTTATAAGAAATAATAATTTATATAAATAATCTACAATACATATTTATTTTATAATATTTGTTTAACTTAATAAAGATGATGTTAATCTTTTAATAAAATATTTTATTTCAATAATGTTATCAGTTCACCATTTTATTTGTTATAAAAATCATTATAACATATTATATCTAAGAAAGAAATCACAAATATAGAAAGTATTAAATTATATAAAATTTTAATAGATTCATAATATTTAATGGTTTATAGCATAATAATTTTAGCAATATACTATCAAATTATCATAATTGTGCTCACCTTACTATATCCAATCATATTTTGTTTTAAAAAATCATTCTTAATGATAACTTTAGATTAATTTGATGAAAGAAAACATGAATTGATTTTCTACTTAATTTACTCTTAATTATCATTTGGTAATATTTTTAAAAGAGGCAGAGATGTATTTTTATTATTAGGAGTACTAGTAGTGTAATTAGAATGCGGTTTATTTCTGTATTTAAGATTAATATTTTCTAATTGTGTATTGATTCGGGCAGCTTATAAAATAGGAGGTAACGGTTAAGATATTTAATCACTGTAATCTTCTGTTTTATGAACTTATCTTTTAGTTTTCTTTCTATAGTATTTCAATTGACCACCATAGCAGATAATGTATTTTTTATTTAGAATCTAATTTTTATTCATTAATAATTATATATTATTATGTATGAAGATTATGATTTTTCTAAAGATGAAAAGTGGAATTTCTATATTAAATCAGCTGATAATTCTATGTAGTATAATTAAGTATATTTAGATCTAAGGAAAGAATAGAATATTTAAAATAGATTTGGTATAAGGAAAATGTGAATAAAAAACATTAAATTGATAATAATAAAATATCAAATGTTAAAGAGGAGTCTAAATTGCCATATTACACTTATAGCACTGAGAATATATTTAAAATGTCATTTATGCTTTTACTATTCATGTAGGGTGTAGCTTAGATATTTGGATATTTATTTAACTTTTTAGCCTTATAAAGACAAATTAGAAATACATAAGTATAATAGAAAAAATAATATGTTAAACTTTTGATAAATAATGAATTCTTTCATAATTTAGTGTTTTTATTTCTATTCCATTTTTTTGAGAGAATGCACAATATTTTAATATATAGTCCAATTCTCGTGCACTCCTGGGTTGGAATATCAGAATTCCTATTTCTTCATCATAAATCAATATACGAAAGTAGCAAATTTGTGTGATAATTAGTATAGGAATGTAAAGGTATATTGATAAAACTAAGTAAAATAAAGAACTTATTATGATACAAAAATAGAAAATGGAAATTATGTTATTTCCTGTCCTTTTATTTGCAAGACTCTTCTTTGACATAGGTAATTGGATAATAGTAATTTTATATCTGGTTTTTCTAAAATTGAAATACCATACAAATAATAGATCTAAAGTAGCTTGGATTTAAATTGATTATTGTATTGAATCTATTTTACCAATCTTTATTGTCTCTTCCTATAGAGAACTCAGATAAATTGCTGTAAATTTCTTTGTGGAGTGAAATATAAATTATAATATTTTTTATCTAAGAAATCAATTAATAAATATCTAATTGCTTTATAATACTATAATTACTGTAAATGTGGTTTCAAAAATATTATACATATATTACATTTTATGTTAATATTCAATACCATATATATATATATATATATATATTAATAATTAAACTAATTTAATAATAATTATTATAAATGCGTTTTATATTGATTCTAGTTGTTTTTGTTGCTTTAGTTATGAGCTATAATAAAAAGGACTCTTGTTAGAACATATAGAAATTTACATACGATGAATGGGATGCTAAATTAATGTGTCCCAATCCTTTAGCTCCAATTCTAGAAACATAAAATATACCTAAAACAAAGTGTAGTAGATTTAAACCTAATTTTGATTCTTCAAATAGAAGATTGAATACTCAAGATGTTGAAGAATTAAGACAGAAAATGAAATAGAAAAAAGAAGGAAATCTAAAATTTGATCATGATCAATAATATAGGCAATTTAAAGAATAATAAAGAAAAGATGAATTGTGATGAAATATCTACTCTATAATTATAATTAATCATTATTCTTTTCTTTCACCTCCCCAACAAAAAAGCTATTGAAAAAAAGATGGTTTTTTTTATTCTTCTTATTATTATTAAGTCTTTTATTTGTTTAATTATTAAGTTTATGATTAGTTTGTTAGAGCATTTTATTAATAATTTTATAGAGTTTGAGATTTTTCCAATACTTTAATAGTAATTTCTATATCTGTCATATATGATAATTAACCAGTCCATTCATCAGCTTCTTGTATTGTAGACACTCTAAATTGTTATTGAACAGTATTTTAATCATTCACCTAATATTATATTTTAATAGATTACAATAATAGTAAACATTCTATTACATTATTCAATAGCTGAAATAGATTTCAATTCAATATTTGAATATTCTTCTGTATCAACAAATTCCCAAAATAAAGCATGTTCTTTCAAAGTAAGTATTACATTTTTCCATTATGATGCATTAATCTTCTTTTCTACTTAATTTTCCAAAAATGTTTTTCCTTTTAAATTTATTATTCTTCTTCTACTATCTTACATCTTATAAACAGGTATTTAATTAGTTCTACTTACTTAAACAGGCATACTATTATTAATTTGTTAACATTTAACAATATAATCGTTTAGTTTTTTAGCATCACTTAAATAAGGGAATATTAATTCAAATACTCTACCATTATACATAAACATTATTTGGTATTCATTAGTAACAACAAATTGTAAATTTTAAATTTAATATATTTCTATTGTAGTTTCTATAACACTAATTCATATACTTATTACTTGTCAATGTTGCTAAATTATTATCATATTTTAGCAAATTTATTGTATCCAAAGTATATTATTAAGGAATGAACTTAATAAATTAATGAATCTAGTCTAAAGACTCAGTACTTATAGATGTGAAAAGTAACAGCCATCTCTTCTTTTTTACTTAAGGATTCTTTACAGATTTTTTTTCAACCAACAATCTCAAAATAAATTCTTTGTTCTTATATTTTACTAATTATTACTTTTTCACCCATAGCTACTATTGTCTATTAGATATATGATGATTTTATTAATGAATTTTATGTATCTTAAGTTTTTTATTAAATAACATTCTACAAAATTTCTTCTCTTCTCAAATATAATTAAATAATTGTTTATTCAGGTATTTCAAGCCTTGAAAATAATAATTGATTACCACTTAACTTTATTCATATTTGATAATTCAGACTTTGTTTTGGATGTTTAATTAAATGGTACTTTTAATATGTCTAGCTGAAACTCAAACTTATACACATACCCATTTTTCCTTTATTTCCTTACTCTCTGCTCTTAATTAAAATTTCCTCAATCCAACGTGAATTACAAACTCGTTCTTATTAGGATCTAAATAATCAACTTAAACAATATTCTATTTCATTATTACTCCTGTATATTTAGATATTTCTAAATACCTTTTGGTTGATAAGGAGGTAAATCTACTTTGTTTTTAAAATATAAGAGTAGATTCTCACAATAAACAAAATATCTCTTTTGCCATCCTTTAATCAGAACAGGACTTTTTTTTTCTAAGAAACTTTCCATTAATTTTTTATATTAATAGTATTATAAATATCAAATCAAAATATAATCATAAAGTTTAAATATCCATTATTATTGATTTTTATTATTTATGCCTATAATCACTATACAAGTAATTAAGTTTAATTTTGTTTAGAATACCTTATCAATCACATTTCAAGACTACCATTTCAAAATAAAATAAAATAGCTATCCAAACTAATTAATCTAATCTAATTTATGTCAATAATAACATTTTATCTATAAATAAATCTAAGTTTTTTATATCTCTTAAATTCAACTAATTAATTAATTTATTTTTGAATAGATGGATATAATTATATAAGAATAATAATAGATTAGATTGATGTGAATTTAAAGTTACTTTCAATTTTAAGCTTGTGGGAGAAATAGAATTTAGATATATTGTTCATCTTTAAATTGCCCAAAAGTTTATCTTATAAATTTAAATAAGAATAAAAATCAAAAAATTCTAGTTTTTATTTTTTTATCAATCAATCCTTTGACAGCATTGCTTTCATAAAATTTTTCTGCAAATGAGGATTATTATGATTCAGTGTTCAAATTTTTAGAGACATAAGATCTAATAGGAAAAAACTATACTTGTTAAAAGATGACCTATATTATCCTTCAAAACTTTGTTTAGTACTAAATAATCTTGGGCTAACAGGTCTAATCAATTTTGAAGGCACTGAATAATGTGATTAAAAAAAGTGTTATGAAGTTGTTTCTTTAATTAATGATTAAGCATTCTCACAAAATGGACCTCTAGATGATTAAATGAAAATACAATTTTATGTGTTTTTGTAATTCAACTTTGTCAGTTTTAATTTATTTAAAATTTTTGGAATAATTAGTTTCAGCAATAAAAGGTAATGTTGACTATTATTTAGGGGATAATTATTAAGTAATTTTACCAGGATATTAACCTTTCCAATTCATAAAATTTGAGTTGTATGTTGACAAGAATGTTGATTAATTTAAATTAGGATTATATTCTGGTTTAAAATTGTCAACTTTTTCACAATTCTAAGGTACAAATTGTTACTAAAATATTAAAAATGAATATACATTATAAACACTCTTTTTTTATAAATAGGCTAAATTAGGAGCATAATATTATTCATATGCTTTTGATTAATTCAATAATGGTTAATCAGGGATATGTTTAGACCCAGAATAATCTCTTGAATACTAAGTTGTTTATTTTTTAGGTTGATAATATTTAATTTCATTAAAATTAATGTTCTTATTTTGTAAATCTTATTGAGCTAATTCTAATTTACATTAACAAACTTTTAGCAATCCTTAAAAATATTCGGCATTATTATTGACGACTTCTTCAATGGTTTAATTTTATTCCACCAGTTCCTTCCAAATCTCATGTTCTAAAGGAAATATTTCAATCACAGTTTAATATAATGTTTTGCTATTATTATCAACAATTTATTAGTCTGATGCATTAATTAGTGGAAATTAGATAGTATTCATTTTCTTATCTTCTATAATTGAGTTATTGATTGAAAGCTATAATTAATTTTCTTATGGGAAATATGACTATTTTACATCATTATGATCATCTCTACTGATAAGATTATTTTTTATTTTTAATACTTTCCTTTTGATTGGAGATTGATTTCTTGATAATTCTTTAGAATTTAATTATTTATTTGTAGATAATGATGAATTATTAGTTCTTGAAAAGTCATTATTTTAAAGTATCCTTTTAACTTCATCACTTATGATCATTTTATTTTTAATATAAGAAAATATATTTATTTATATAATTTATTTGTATTTGGCTATGTAATTGATGAGTGATAAAAACACTTAAAATTACATTCTATATATGCAAAATAAAATACTTACAATAATATATATAATATAAGCAAAACAAAGTTTTATTATTATTTTTATTTGGATGAAAAATAAATATGGATAGGCTCAACTTATCAACAAGTAAATTATGAGGGTGGTTGGAAATGGTGCTCTAAATACATCAGCCACAAAAACAAAAAAAAAAGAATTCTAATTTCAGCAAATAGATCAGTTATAGCAAAAAAAAACTTTGATGACATAGGCAAATTTATAGAAGAAGAAAGATATTGCCGCTAAGAAAATATTTAGATTTTTGTATAAAATTTATAAATAGTATTATTTGAATAAACATTTATTTTTAGAAAAGAGAAATAACATAGATATCGAAAATTTGTGATTGAAGAGTTCATAAATACAGAAAGAAATTATGTAAATGATTTGAAAATACTAATTGTTATCTAAAGTTAAGTTAAGCAATGGTTAAATAAACAATAAATTGAAATAATCTTTAATAATGTCCAATAATTGTACGAATTAAATAGCCCTTTTCTACAAGATTTAGAAGGATTTCTACCATATAAAAGATTCAAATTATTAGGACCGAAAATCAAAGGATTAGCTCCTTTTTTTAAAGTTTATTTTACATATTATGAAGGATTCAATAAATCTATGGCAACCCTTAAATAATGCACAAATGATAAAGAGGATTTCAGAAAATTCCTAAAAAGTATGCCATCAATCAAAGACTATAATAATTAGGACATTGAGAGTTATTTAATTAAACCTGTTTAACGAATACCCAAGTATAATTTACTATTAGAAGATATAATAAAAAATACTGAAAAAACTCATCCAGATTATAAAAATTTATGTGAATGCTTAGAGTTATTTAAAAAAATTAATGATGACAATAATAAAAATATGGATTAATTTTTATCAAGTAAGTTATTTGACATGGAAAAATGGTTTGGAAATAAACTGAATTAGAAATTAGTAGATTCTAAAAGAAAATACATTACTGAACTTTTAACATCTATTTTAGATTAAAATAATAAAGTTATAAATGTCACAGCTTTTGTCCTTAGTGATTTAATCATTATTGGTGAAAGATAGGATAATCAATATCTGTATATCTAGAGTGTATTTTTAGATGAACAAAGTGGATGCTTAGATGTTGAGAATTAATAACATCTTTAAAATATATACATTTTATAAGGAATGAAAGGGTAATCAATTACTTTCATTGAGCAGACCCTAAATGATAAAATTGAGAAAATGGATAAATTACAAAAAATAATCCAAGAATGCAAAGAGAAATCTAAATATACATTTTAAAGACTAGCATCTCGTCAAGGGTCTTAATAATAAATTTAACTTAATAAAATTAAAGTAACAGCTTTAGGTATTGATGAAAGACGTGAGAATTTAAGTAGTTATAAAGTATATATAATTGAAGTTGGAATTGATGAGGTTTTTTAAAAACTTTTTTTAAGATTTAGTTAATGCATTAAGATCTAGGATTATATTAAAAAAAAATACCCAACTAACTAAATACATCTCTTAAAATAAAGTACTACTTTAAGTCTATTGAATGATTAAAAAGAAATTGAATCAAGAATGATAGCCATTCCTCTGTTTGTTAAATCAGTTCTAATGTCTGATATAACAAGATAAGATTCATAAATTTTGAAAGATCTAGGTTTACCTGAGAATTTTTTTGATTTGCCTTTTGAGGCTGATAAGTTTAGAAATCAAAGAAATAGCACTCAAAAAGGACCTGATAGATTCAGTTATGTTTCTCCAACTCGAACTCTAATTAAAACAGTTGACTATGGGAATGATTAACAATCTCTACAGAATAATTAATGTAATCGAAGATTATTAAGTGCATCCTCTATGATAAGTAGAAATATAACATTAGTGGAAGAACAGAAAAAGAAAAAAGAGAAGGATGCAATTTAAATTATAGTAAATCATTCTATACCTAAAGAAAAACCATGGGAGTTCAATATTCAAAATAATACTAAAGTGTTGCATGTATTAGATTAAATTTAGAAGATAATGTAATTACAACAAATATATGACTTTAAATTATACATATTTGACAATAAATCTCGAGTGAAAATATTGCAAAATGATGAAAATATCTGTGATTTGTTTGTAGATAGTTTTATTTTTGCTAAAAAAAAAAAAGAATTATGGTTCAAAAAAATCCTATATTAGGATATAGAATATGAGAAATCCTTGTTATATGCTGATAGCGTTAGAATGAAACTTTTATATTATTAATTAGTTAAGGATATCTAAATTTCCACATTAATATTTCCAACTTAAAATTAATATATTAAATTAGCAGCCATTCATTTGTATTTATAGAATTGCAATCTCTCATTTGATATAATATAATAAATCATCCCAGCCTCTATTTTATAGCTTAGATAAAGAGAGTATTGGAATTGTGTTGTAACCCAAGAATTTAAGGAATTTAAGGCAAGTATTGAAAACTCATAATCTGCATTTATTCAAAATAATTAAACTGAAGTAATGGCTCAATTTAAATCAAAAGGCATATTTTCATCTATGATTCAATCTAACCAAACCAAATTCTCCTAAGTTGTTAACATTAATGTTGATTCAACAAAAGCAATGAATTATTTTATTTCAGAATGTTTGAAAAATGAATTCTGCATTTAACAGTTATTTCAAATTGTTTGCAAAGAAGCTTTGTCATAATTTGGAGAATAAAATTTAGTTCTTGGTATTGGTTATCAAGGTATTCGACTCTATAGCAGTTCTAAGGATAGAATTTGGGAAAAAATTGATAAACCCTAATCTTTTAATGTTTATCCAGGATCTATCGAAATTGGATTTTAAGGAAGAAAGCTTAAGTTTGAAACCAATTAAGGATTTCAAATCTAGTCTTTGTTTGATGAATATTAAGCAATCAAATCTTAGAGTTAAGAATGACATTTTATTTTTACATATCCTTAATATTATATTATTGTTATTAATATTTTTATGATAATATTTGATTCATAAATGAAGAATAATGAAAATATTGAAGATGAATCTGAAGATAAGTATGAAGTAAAAAGGGATATATTAGATAATTATATGTACCATTATTTCCTATGAGAAAAAAACCGTCTATAGGATCTAGTCAAATATCTTCACAATCCACATCATAATCAACTTAAATGCTCACTTAATATAGAAGTATGTAAGATTCAAACGAAAAAAGAGAATTAGAAGCTGCGATAATCAAAGAACTCATGAAAGATAAGCGATCATCTGAATTCTATGCAGTTCAAGAAAATTGGATTTCACAATATAAATTATATTTATATCAAAATGGAGAAAGACCAGGCATTTTAGATAATAATAACTGTACATAATACATCATTGTTAATGAAGCAGTGTGGATATTTTTTAAACAAGAATATAAAGCTCATCCAGATATAATCTGTAAATAAAAGCATTCAAGAAATAATGATAAGAGATCAAAAACTGTAGAACCTACTATAAATCGTTAAACTGCTTCTAATACTTAATCCAACTATGAATTACCACTTATTGGAATGAAAAATGATTCTTACTATTGCTATATGCATTCAGGATTACAATCCCTATTAAGCATAGCTGATCTTAATTATTTTATTATAAAATACATTCAAAGAATATCTAAGCAACAACTCTTAGACAAAAAAAAATAAAATATTGTTTCATTTACTAAAGCTTATTTTGATTTAATTGATTAAATCAAAGCAAGTACTGTCCCTATTAAAATTAACACCATAAAAACACTGATAATTAATTAGTTTCATCCAAAAAATCAGCATGATTGTCATGAATTCTTACTTTATTTACTAGGACACATAGAAGATGAAATTTTGAATTTCAATAAGGATAATAAATCAGCTTATATAAATTTCGTAGAATAAATCTTTAAAGGTAGCAAACTTTATATTTAATAGGAAAACTTTAGACTAATATTATATGTCAACTTTGTAAAAATAAAATTAAATAAGTTGAGCCATTCTTAACATTGTCATTAGCCATCTCTTAATCCAAAACACTAGAATCGTGTCTTGATGAATTTCTAAAAGAAGAAACACTAAAAGATTATAAATGCATCAAATGTCAATCATCATGTGTAAAAAGCCTCTAAATTGTTTCTATTCCATAAATACTGGTATTACACCTAAAAAGATTCTAATTTTTGCCCTAATGTCATAAAAACAACAAAGCAATAACATATCCGATTGACATATTAAATTTTGGCAATAAAACCTATAGGCTTAGAGCGGTTATTGTTCACACCGGTAATTTATAATCAGGACATTATTTCACATTTGCAAAAAGATACCATTAATGGTTTCTATTTAATGATGAAACTGTTAAAGCAGTTACCAAAAAATAAGTTCTTATGCAGGCAGCATATATCCTCTTTTACTAAATTAATGAGAATCCATGATTTTGATATTCAAATTTATTTATATATGGATTCCATCATGTAATAAATAAGTTCAATTAATAATCAAGAAATAAATTTTAACATATTTATATTTAATTAATTATTCAAAGATAGGATTGTTGTTTTTAATAATAAATTATATAACCAAGATAAATGTAATTTATGTTATCTAAATTAATTGAATCAGAATGAAAATATTTTATCTAAATTGTTCCATTATTAATACTGTATTAGATCTATTAAATTCTAATTTAATCATTTGTTAATTGTTCTAACTATATTTATTATATATTATTTTACATATAAAATTCTGTAATATAATTTCCTATGAGTTCAACTCTGTTTATGTTAGATATCCACAAAATTTCTATTTATTTTCTTACAAAAGATTAAAAGTTAAATATAATATGTTTCTTAAACTTATCAAGATACAAAAGAAATGAATTTGTTATAGTGAAATGAAAGAATACATGGCTGGTTGACTTTAAAAGTGATTATTGTGGTGGAAAACTTAAAGATGTATTTGGATTATTTTTAACATTAATATACATCCATAAGTAAAAATTTGGTGATTTCAATTAATAACTATATAATTAATCAAGCACCTAAAAATATGTATTCAGAAATTAAAAAATGTCTAATTTAATTATTGATGATAATTTTGAAAATAAAGCTTTATAGTTTGCAATTGAACTAAACTAATCTTTTTGCAAATTTAATGGGATTAAATTTAAAATTAGATTTAAAAATCTAATTAAAATCATTAGATTATAATAAATATTTTGAAAACAATATGTTTTAAACTTTATTTTACTCATTTAATTTCGGTTAATATATATTAAAATAATTAATTAAGACATTATTCTTAGCATTTGGTTGAATATGCAATCAAATAATACTATCAATTGAAGTTAATATTTCTTAAAGAAGATAATGAAAAAGCAATTCTGATAATTAGATTAATAATTTGATTTTACAGCTATAATTGATATTATAATTAAAACAATTCTAAAATAAGAATTATGTTCATTTCATTTACACAAATCTTTTCTTTATTCAATAAATCAGCTTTCTATCATTTTTTAAGTTTTTTCTACTTAGGCTTAATCTATAAATTTATAACTTTTTATATTAATTGTCTTTATACATTTTTTATGTTATCAAAACAGAAACTCTAATACAAAATTTCAAGTACAAACTTTTTAACCTTTCACACAATTTTGTATTATATAGTTAATAAAATTTTAGCCAACTCTTATTCATTCATTATAATAATAATTTGAATCAAGATAGATTTTTTTATATNTACCAAAAAATAAGTTCTTATGCAGGCAGCATATATCCTCTTTTACTAAATTAATGAGAATCCATGATTTTGATATTCAAATTTATTTATATATGGATTCCATCATGTAATAAATAAGTTCAATTAATAATCAAGAAATAAATTTTAACATATTTATATTTAATTAATTATTCAAAGATAGGATTGTTGTTTTTAATAATAAATTATATAACCAAGATAAATGTAATTTATGTTATCTAAATTAATTGAATCAGAATGAAAATATTTTATCTAAATTGTTCCATTATTAATACTGTATTAGATCTATTAAATTCTAATTTAATCATTTGTTAATTGTTCTAACTATATTTATTATATATTATTTTACATATAAAATTCTGTAATATAATTTCCTATGAGTTCAACTCTGTTTATGTTAGATATCCACAAAATTTCTATTTATTTTCTTACAAAAGATTAAAAGTTAAATATAATATGTTTCTTAAACTTATCAAGATACAAAAGAAATGAATTTGTTATAGTGAAATGAAAGAATACATGGCTGGTTGACTTTAAAAGTGATTATTGTGGTGGAAAACTTAAAGATGTATTTGGATTATTTTTAACATTAATATACATCCATAAGTAAAAATTTGGTGATTTCAATTAATAACTATATAATTAATCAAGCACCTAAAAATATGTATTCAGAAATTAAAAAATGTCTAATTTAATTATTGATGATAATTTTGAAAATAAAGCTTTATAGTTTGCAATTGAACTAAACTAATCTTTTTGCAAATTTAATGGGATTAAATTTAAAATTAGATTTAAAAATCTAATTAAAATCATTAGATTATAATAAATATTTTGAAAACAATATGTTTTAAACTTTATTTTACTCATTTAATTTCGGTTAATATATATTAAAATAATTAATTAAGACATTATTCTTAGCATTTGGTTGAATATGCAATCAAATAATACTATCAATTGAAGTTAATATTTCTTAAAGAAGATAATGAAAAAGCAATTCTGATAATTAGATTAATAATTTGATTTTACAGCTATAATTGATATTATAATTAAAACAATTCTAAAATAAGAATTATGTTCATTTCATTTACACAAATCTTTTCTTTATTCAATAAATCAGCTTTCTATCATTTTTTAAGTTTTTTCTACTTAGGCTTAATCTATAAATTTATAACTTTTTATATTAATTGTCTTTATACATTTTTTATGTTATCAAAACAGAAACTCTAATACAAAATTTCAAGTACAAACTTTTTAACCTTTCACACAATTTTGTATTATATAGTTAATAAAATTTTAGCCAACTCTTATTCATTCATTATAATAATAATTTGAATCAAGATAGATTTTTTTATAT